ACAGTGGTACAAAAAGTTTGATAGCTTCATGGGTAGCAATGGTTTTACCAGATGCCAAGCATATCATTGTTGCTACATCAAGAAGTTCGACAACATCTTCATTATTTTATTGTTGTATGTTGATGACATGCTCGTTGCAGGGCCAGACATGCAAGAGATTATAAACTTGAAGCAAAAATTATCGAAGTAGTTTGCAATGAAAGATCTGGGTGCAGCAAAGCAGATTCTTGGGATGAGAATTAAGAGAGACACAAAGTCGGGAACTTTGATGTTATCACAAGCTGAGTACATCAATAAAGTACTCTCCAGGTTCAACATGCAAGATGTTAGTCCAGTAAGTAAACATTTATGTGTTCATTTTAGACTCTCCAAAGAACAGTCACCAAAGACGGAGGAAGAACGTGCACACATGGTGAAGGTGTCGTATGCCTCAACAATTAGAAGTCTGATGTATGCCATGGTTTGTACTATACCAGATATTGCTCATACAGTTGGAGCTGTTAGCAGGTACATGAATAATCCAGGCAAGGTACACTAGGAAAAAGTCAAATGGATCCTCAGATATCTGCGGGGTACTACAAACAAAGCACTTTGTTTCAAAGGTGGAGATATGATACTAACAGACTATGTAAATGCTGACTTAACCAGAAATATTGACATCAGAAGGAGCACTACAGAGTATGTCTATACTCTAGGATATACTGTAGTGAGTTGGGTTTCTCAATTACAGAAGATAGTTGATCTCTCCACAATTGAAGCAGAATATGTCATTGTTACAGAAGCCAGCAAGGAGATGGTTTGGCTCTAAAGTTTCTTGGAAGAGTTAGGCAAACCTCATAAAAGAAAAGACTGGATTGAGGCCCAACGAAATATGAATGACACCGAAATAGTCTGGATTGCGTATTGGTTACCCAAGAAAGATATATTTAACAAATACGACAATAACAATTTTGCTATGTTATATGGACTGTGGGGGAAATTGGATATACTCCTTTGATAGTACTTCGACAGTTTAATGCCCGATAGTTCATACCAGCTACTCGCGGATTGAAAGAGGTAAAATTTTCCATTTTTTCAGTTGTTGTGAGTACTAAATATGGACGTAAAATATGTGTAAGTATACACAATCGAACAAGTAATAAAGTATCTGGTCTCTTCAGGAATATGTGATTTTGAAACTTGAAAAGATTAGTGGAGCTCAAAATCCAGCAAACATGTTGACAAAGACGGTGACTACAGATAAACTGAAGTTGTGTTCAACTTCAGTTAGCATGCTAGAATAAAAGACCAGAAATACTACTGCATTGATCGAGGTGAAAAGATAAATTAAAATCAGTCTTAAAGTGGGAGATTGTTGAAATTCAAAGCAAGCATCCACCAATTCAAAAACAGTCGACGGCAAAATTTGGCTATCAATAAGCTTGTTTTCTGGTCAATGCAAAGAGTGATATATAAAGAAATTATTATTTCTAAAATTTAAAAGTTCAATCCTAACAAGGTTTACTTTGGTTATCACCAATATGCATGTATTTTGCATCATGAATCAGATTGACTGCTGCAACAATGGTCTTACTCTAACCACTAACTGCCATTGTAGATTTACCTTGTTTTCTTCATCAGTTCAACTCACTATCTGCTTTGTTGATGAAAGGAATGGAAATTTATCATCAAGCGCATTCATAGCTCTATCAAATGTATTCATGAACTGCAAAGCCAAATGCAAAGGGAAAAGTTTATGCAAAGATTGCATAAGAGGAGCAAACCACTCATGAATAGAGAAAGATAAAAAAGTAGACTCAAAATTATTATTAGTGAAAAAACTTCAGCTTATAAAATGGATTATACAAATGCCTTCATGCTTAAAAAGGAAGGTGAAAAGTGTCTGTGTTTCCACAATGATCACCAGGTTACTGACAATGATCCATACTCAACTAAATGTTTGACCTCTCAACTTGGATTTTGATCCGGCTCTTAGCATTATGTTATGGCAATGAAAAGATAATGAGAGATTTAAACGGTCTCTTGGCCAATAGTCACTACTCGCTAGCTTATTCCCTAACAATAAAAAGTTCAAATCTTAGCAAATGCTCCAGTTGCCCACTGTAATAATGCACAGAAACTTTAAGAAATTGTTAACAAGGAAAATAACCATGGACCTTGTATTTTAAGTGATCAGTATCCGTCAGGTTCCATTGTCTTCTGCACTTTTCATAACTCCACACATTGCCTTATCTCGGGAAGTCAATCAATTCAAGATGTCCAAACTGTACAAACATGCAGAAGAGATATCTAGTAAACTTATTTTTCAAAAGAGAAAGCAAACCCTAAAATTAGAAAAATTCCCTCTAGACAGGTATAACCTATCATATACTTTTAGTGTCCTTTTGACTTAAATATCATGGGAAGATCTTCACCGGTTCATCCTATTTTCCTAGACTTAATATTATCTCAAATATCCACCCAAATAAAATATTGATGTACTGTTCAGTATGAAAAAGTTGAGAACGCGAAGGGATTACTTGAGATAGGGTTATTGTTGAAATTCAAAGTAAGCAGCCACAAATTCAAAAGCAGCCAGCGACTAAATTTGGTCCATGGTGGGCTGCCTAATTTTGTTGAAAAATACGCAGCTATTATTGAAATATAATAGGGTTAATTACATTTTTGTCCCTACATACTTTAGGGTACTTACAAGATTAGTCCTTATGCTTCAACTATAAATACCCTAACCCATTTAGCTTCAAGATCATCTCAAATCTTTTATTTTTCCCAATACGAGAGAGTTTTCTTATGAGTAGTGAGTATTTTATAAACACCTATAAATTTTCTGTTTTAATAAAAGATCTGCAGCAGTCCGGAGACGTAGGCATAATTGGCTGAACTCCGTTATCAATTTCGGATATTATTTTTTGGCTTTTATTTTGTATTCTCACTAATCTGGTTATAGAGAAATTACTCGTTTATTTCCCAACAACTGGTATCAGAGCTTTTGGTTGTGAATTTTATCAATTTTTTATAAGGTTACTATTCATTATTATTCATGACTAGTCATATGAATAGTGAATTTTATGAATAGTAAAAATTTTGTCGGTGATACGAATTTGTCGACAGAGGTGTTCTAATACACGGCGGTTCGTAGAAATTGTCAGAAACGATCCAAAGAAGTCATAATCAAGTGGGAGCGATGGCTGCAGACGAAGGGAATGTGAAAATTGAAAAGTTCGATGGTGCGGACTTTGGCTTTTGGAAGATGCATATTGAAGATTTTCTGTACCAGAAAAATCTATATCAACATCTCTCAGGAAAACAACTAGAGGGCATAAAGAATGAAGACTAGGCTCTTCTTGACAGACAAGCCTTCGGAGTTATTCGACTGACATTATCCCGCAATATTGCTTTCAACATAGCTAAGGAAAAGACCACAGCGGGTCTTGTGGCGGCTCTCTCCAGTATGTATGAGAAGTCATCTGCCTCAAACAAAGTTCACTTGATGAGGTAATTATTCAATTTGTGGATGGCGGAAGGGGCATTAGTGTCTTAACACCTGAATAAACTCAACACAATCACAACCCAGTTGAGTTCTGTGGAAATTGAATTTGATGATGAAATTCGAGCTTTAATTCTCTTATCCTCTCTACCAGATAGTTCGAATGCCACTGTTACAGTAGTTAGGAGCTCGTCGGGAAATAGTAAATTAAAATTCGACGATGTTCGGGATCTGGTATTGAACGAAGAAATTCGACAGAGAGAATCGGGTGAGGCATCAAGCTCCTCAGCCTTGCACACAGAGTCTACAGGGAGAACTTCAGAAAGAAATTCAAATCGTGGCAAATCAAAATCCAGAAGGGGAAAATCAAGAACGGGAAAGAAAGATTTTACCTATTATAATTGTGGCAAGAATGGTCACTTTAAAAGATATTGTCGAGCACAGAAGAAAGATACCAGCGCACATGAATCTACCAACATGACAGAGGAGACAGGTGATGCCATGATTCTAAGCATCAACAGTCCGATTGAATCATGGATCTTAGATTCAAGGGCATCTTTCCACTCTACCCCATGCCAAGAAATCATGGAGAACTATGTCAGTGGTGATTTTGGGAAAGTTCATCTAGCTGATGATGAAACCTTGAAGATCGTCGAAAAATGAGACATCAGATTAAATTTGCCAAACCAGACCACATGGAAGCTGACAGAAGTGAGACATATTCCTGGCCTCAAAAGAAATTTGATTTCTGTAGGACAGCTTTATGGAAAATGATATAGTACAACCTTTTCAGGCTATGAATGGAAGATTACCAAAGGAGCACTCGTCATTGCTCGTGGTAAGAAGACTGGTACTCTCTATGTATCCTTAAATTTAGAGAATATCATTGCAGTAGCATATGCTGATGGAAAATCAAACCTATGGCACCAAAGGCTTGGCCATATGAGCAAGAAAGGGATTAATATACTTTTGTCAAAAGGAAAGCTGCCGGATCTAAAAAATATAAATGCCGAACTATGTGAAGATTGTATCTTTGGTAAACAAAAGAAAGACAATTTTCCAAAGATTGGCAAGACACCCAAGGCAGAAAAGTTATAGTTGGTTCATATTGATGTATGGGGACCATCTCCAGTTCCATCTCTTGCAGGATCATTATATTATGTCACCTTCATCAATGATTCTACGAGGAAGGTGTGAGTTTAATTTCTGAAGAAAAAATCAGAAGTCTTTGATACCTTAAGAAAATGGAAGGCCATGGTGGAAAATGAGAATGGTTTGAAAGTGAAGCAGTTGAGGTCTGATAATAGAGGAGAGTACAGAAATAGGAAATTCAGAGATTTCTGCGCAAACAATGGGATCAAGATGGAGATAACAGTTTCCATGACACCGCAACAGAATGCCGTAGCAGAGCGCATGAACAGAACTCTAAATGAACGTTTCAGAAGTATGAGGATATATGTTTGCTTGCCCAAATTTCTATGGGCTGAAGCTATCAACACTGCAGCTTACCTGATCAACCGTGGGCCCTCAGTTCCCTTGGATGGTGGAATACCAAAGGAAGTTTGGAGCAAGAAAAAAATAAACCTTTCACACTTAAGAGTGTTTGGTTGTATTTCTTATGTACACATAGATTATGCTGAAAGAAGTAAACTTGATGTCAGGTCCAACAAGTCTTTGTTGGTTATGGTGGTGATGAGTGTGGTTATCGATTTTGGGACTACGAAAATCAGAAGATCATCAGAAGCATAGATGTCATTTTCAAAGAAAATGTGATGTACAAAGACAGGTCAACCATAGAATCAAGTATCTCCAATACCGAAGCTGAAACAAAGGAATTTGCTGAGTTTGAGGATATTTCTAGAAATGATGTTCAGATCAGTCCTGAAGTATTTCAAGAAGAACTAGGCACACCAGAACTGAGACGTTGCTCCAGAATTCCTAAACCAACCCAACGTTATTCGCCTTCTTTGCACTACTTATTGCTGACTGACAATAGTGAACCAGAGTGCTATGATGAAGTAATACAGGTGGAGGATTCAGTCAAGTGGGAGTTTTCCATGAAAGATGAGATAGACTCGCTTATGTCAAATCAGACGTGGGAATTAGCTGAATTACCACCAGGCAAGAAAGCGCTCCATAACAAGTGGATTTATAGGATCAAAGAAGAGCACGACGGGAGCAAACGCTACAAAGCAAGATTGGTTGTCAAAGGTTTTTAGCATAAAGAAGGTATTGACTATAATAAAATTTTCTCTCCAGTCGTGAAACTGTCTATAATCAGACTGGTGTTGAAAATTGTAGCTGTAGAGAATCTACATCTTGAGCAGTTAGATGTGAAGAAAGTTTTCCTTCTTGGTGATTTGGAGGAAGAAATCTATATGAGGCAGCCAAAAGGCTTCATAGTGGCAGGTAAGAAAAATCTGGTATGCAGGTTGAAGAATAACTTGTATGGTTTAAAACATGCTCCTAGACAGTGGTACAAAAAGTTTGATAGCTTCATGGGTAGCAATGGTTTTACCAGATGCCAAACAGATCATTGTTGCTACATCAAGAAGTTCTACAACAGCTTCATTATTTTATTGTTGTATGTTGATGACATGCTCGTTGCAGGGTCAGACATGCAAGAGGTTATAAACTTGAAGCAAAAATTGTCGAAGCAGTTTGAAATGAAAGATATGGGCACAACAAAGCAGATTATTGGGATGAGGATTAAGAGAGACACAAAGTCATGAACTTTGATGTTATCACAGGCTGAGTACATCAACAAAGTACTCTCCAGGTTCAACATGCAAGATGTTAAACAGTAAATACACCTTTATGAGTTCATTTTAGACTCTCCAAAGAACAGTCACCAAAGACGGAGGAAGATCGTGCACACATGGTGAAGGTGCCATATGCCTCAGCAATTGGAAGTCTGATGTATGTCATGGTTTGTACTAGACCAGATATTGCTCATGCAGTGGGAGCTGTTAGCAGGTACATGAATAATCCAGGCAATGTACACTGGAAGCAGTCAAATGGATCCTCAGATATCTACGGGGTACTACAAACAAAGCACTTTGTTTCAAAGGTGGAGATATGATACTGACAGACTATTTAGATGCTGATTTAGCCGGAAATGTTGATATCAGAAGGAGCACTACAGGGTATGTCTATACTCTAGGAGGTACTACAGTGAGTTGGGTTTCTCAACTACAGAAGATAGTTGATCTCTCCACAACTGAAGCAGAATATGTCGCTGTTACGGAAGCCAGTAAGAAGATGGTTTGGCTCAAAAGTTTCTTGGAAGAGTTAGATAAGAAACAAGAAAACAATGTCTTGTATTGCGACAGTCAAAGTTCTATCCATCTAGCAAAGAATCTGACATTTCATTCCAAGACGAAGCACATACAATTGCGATATCAATTTATCCGGACTCTTCTGGAGATGGGATTTTGAAACTAGAAAAGATTAGTGGAGCTCAAAATCCGGCATATATGTTGTCAAAGATGGTGACTACGGACAAAATAAAGTTGTGTTCAGCTTTAGTTGGCATGCTAGAATAAAAGACCATAAATGATGCTGCATTGATCGAGGTGTGAAGACAAATTAAAATCAGTCTTCAAGTGGGAGATTGTTGAAATTCAAAGCAAGCAACCACCAATTCAAAAACAGCTGGCAGCTAAATTTGGTCCATGGTGGACTGCCTAATTTTATTGAAAAATGGGCAGCAATTGTTGAAATGTAATAGGGTTAATTATATTTTTGTCCCTGCACACTTTAAGATATTTATAAGATTAGTCCTAAACACCCTAACCCATTTAGCTTCAAGATCATCCCAAATCATTTCTTTCTCCCAATACAAGAGAACTTTCTTATGAGTAGTGAGTGTTTTGTAAACACCTGTAAATTTTCTCTCTTAGTAAAAGATCTGCAACAGTCTGGAGACGTAGGCATAATTGGCTAAACTCCGGTATCAATTTCGGGTATTATTTTTCTGATTTTATTTCGCATTCTCACTAATCTGGTTATAAGAAAATTACTCGTTTATTTCCCAATAGTTACGTTGAAATATAGGGTCAGGGATCTCGATCTCCATTTGGAATGACTTTTGGATACTGATTCTTAGACTGTGGTTACTAGGATCTTCATAGGGTACCTCGCTTAAGAAGGTGGTAGATTTGATAGAAGAAGATTATATGTCATTGAGAGAAGATTTAGTGAAGGATTTGTTTGCTGCAAATGTCACGAAGAAGATTTTGGGAATTCCTTTATCTCGATCTAGACAAGATGATTGTCAGATTTGGTGCGGTGAGAAATAAGGGGTTTGTAGTATTCGTAATGGTTATCGTCTACTTTTGGAGGAGGAAAAGGTGGCGCAAAGTATAAAAATCGTGTTCAATCACTTATGGGCTTGCGCGTGTCAACAAAAAAATTAAATTACAGATATGATGATACATTCATAATTACATTCCATCTCTCCAATGTCTATTTATTTAAAGAATCACTAATAATCCTACTTGCCAAAGATGCCATGCTATATTGAATATGGCCTTCATTGTCACACCTTGAATTTTCTTGGTTTTAATATTAATTTAGTTATAATCATTTTGGGGAACCAAATTGCATAGTTTTGAACTTTGTAGGTTATTCATTGAGCTTCTCGTTAATCTAGGGCCTTAGGCTCAGATTCTCCCATTGACCATAAATGATATAATGAAAGAAAGAGGGAAAATGTGTGGTTTTTGGGTATTAATCTAGGTTACTTTTTTGAAAATATTTGATTCAAAATATTTTTAAATAGTTCCAACCCGATTTTAAACTCCCATCATCTTTCTCATTTGAAACCAAAACTTAGAAACAAAATCCCAAAACCCTCAATTTTAAGCTTCTCGTCACCCCACTATCAAACTCTAATTGACCCCCATTCAGCCAGCTGTGGCCATCATCGCCACCACCACGGTGTTTCTCGTCGTCCCTTAATCAAACTTCAACCTTCAAAACACCCAAATCAGTCATCGTTCATCACAAATCAGTGAAAGAGTTTCGAAGACCCATTTTCGATCAAGTTCGTTGGTTGTCGATGAGTGACACCACCCTCACCAATCGAAGTGCCACCCCCATCCGATCACAGCCCAACATCTTACGCGTCGAACCTCACCGTTGTTCGCCGTGGAGAACCTTCGAAAGATTTGCTAGAAAATATAATAACTTCAACTATGTTTTTGCGATTTTAGGCCTATTCCTTCACTGTTTCACCACACCGCCCTCACCATCATCATCCTTATAATATTCTGGACGAAACCCAGTCAGGTTCGATGCCTCACTATCACTCCATCGGCCACTGTGTATAAGTTCTTCGAACTTTTTTCCAATTGTTTAATGTTGTTTTGGCTGGATTTTTGAGTTATTTTGGGTTGATATTATTGAATCAGTGCATCAGGAGTAATTGGTCGCCAAAAATCGCACTCGTCACCGTCGCACGCACCACTACGCGCTTCTGCCATATGTGGGTCTGGTTCTCCGATCGAACATTCCAAAAACTGGTTTGAGTCAACGTGAATCGATTTGGATCATTAACTTTGACCGATCGTTGACTTGGTTGTTAACCTTCCCAGAGTTGACTATGACCTTTGACTAGCGTTAACCATTGACTTTGACCAAAAAGTCAATTTTTTTAAAAAGTCTTATTTTATGTTTTTCGACATCCTGAGTCCAAATTCAAAGTTCGTTTCATTAAATTCGAACCCAATAAGCTATTTTTTGATGTTTTATCTCCTGATTCGATATGTTTTTCCTTATTAAATTTCATTTCTAATGTAATTTATTGTGTTATGTATCCGAGATATTATGGGACATTGAAAACAAGTGTGAGAGCGGTCAGATAGAGTTTAAGTGGTCGATCGATATGACACAAAAATCGAGGTAATACTTTATTACCTTTTGTATGCTTTATGGAAAACGTTGATACTGGATTTTTGCATGAATGAATGATTGGTCAATTATGTAAAGTTAATTATTGTTGGACTTAAATTGAATAAGGTATAAAGTTAGTAAACAGTATAAGACTCAGATGATCTATTTAATAAATTGGAAGACTGAGGAGAACTAAATCCAAGTTCAGTGATTAATTAGTAAATAATCAACCTCAAGATCCGTAAATTTTGATTATTCTCATTAAAGATTAAATATCGAAAATAATTGGTTAAGAAATTATGAAAATACACTTGAAATGAATAGAGACCTGGATCTCCCATGATAGTGAAAATGTCCTAGATATTTATTCTTAAATAGACATAAATATGGACCTACTGATTAAATTATTGGTCTGAATAGAAATTTTCGAATAATTAATTCCTAACCTTTGAGAAGTCATAAGAACTAGAATTTCTAGTTCTTGAGCAATCATCCGGAGATTAAATTACTGAAAGTACCATTTACATCTGAATTGTTTGAAGTGGTTGAATTATTTAAAAAGACTTAATCGAATGAAATGACTAAAATACATCTAGGACTGAAATGACCTAAAAATAAGTGGATGTAATTGGATAAACCCTAAAAACATCGATAAACCTAAGTATTGTATTGCCCTTGAGATTCGAAGCACAACCCAAGCATTTCGATCACTCTTAATATTGTTGTAATACATAAATAAAATAAATACCACCAGAATACATGTTTATCTCCTTCAGATACGTTCCCTAATGAATTTGAAAGTGACAAGTTCGACTTGTGCATTCAGAATTAATAAGCGGATTTGATATAAATTTGGAATACTACAAATTATCATTTTACACTTATTGGATTAAGTTACTAAGAATTATTCAGTGATCCAAATGTCCAAAATGCCCCTTATAACATATACTATGGAATCACTCATGTTACATCTAAATCTAAATAAATTTTGATGTAAGGTTCCTGAATACTTTTCTGATGCACTTGTAATCCTAAATGGCCCTGAAGCATTAAATTCTTAATGTCTAATTAGATACGATAGTAATCGAACCCCTTTTAGTAGGGATCTCATCTCTGAAATTTGATCAACTTGTAGAAGTTCATGTTTCCCTTCTTGATAATTACCGCGTGTCTCTAAAAAATATTTGAATCCTCTAATGTATTCCTTATGCACGTAAATATTTTCTTTGATTTAAAAAAGTATGACTATGATATTTGAATATAAAAACATGATTTCTGATCTCTGCTTTATGATCTCTGGTTTCAGATACTAGATATATCTGGCTCATGATTATGATATTACTATTTACTATTTAACCTATTTTATATTGGGGTATTATCCGGGATTTGTTATGGAGTTCTACATATTCAAATCCGATCAAGTTGGTAAAACTTTATAGACCTAAGATGACCCTTAGGTGGGTTTTGGGGTCCATTGCGCCTAGTGGTAAAACCTTATAGACCCTAAGGCAAATCCTTAGGGTGGCTACTTTGCTTTGTGCTTAGGGTAAGTCCTTATGGACTCAAGGTGTTCTCTTAGGTTGGCTCATACGCCCAATGGACCTAGAGTAAGTCCTTATGGGTTCAGTTTTGGGGAACTGTATATCGGTGTTCGGTTGGAAGATATTATTGTGATTTTCAAAATATATTTTATTGAAATGGACTACTACTATTTTTAAGACTATATGTACACTTATTTTCTGAGTTTATTAGAACACACTAGATTTCCCAACTCAATATTCTAAAACTGTCTCTCTCTGAAATGTTCCTTCTGAGCAGTAAGTTTCATGTCTATCAACTGAGGAATTAGTCAATGGAACCTCAACTCATCTCTATGACCTATATATGCTTGGATAATTGAGGAAATGTTATGATTTCCATAGCTACTTGTCATTTAGCATTTATTCGGCAGTTCTGTATTGTTGAGCTTCCCAAAGCTCATTCTGTTACTCACTATTTTAGGTTAAAGAAATTGGTCATGTGCAGTTATCGACATCGATATTGGTAGTTCCTTTGGCGTTGCTTGTAGAGTATAGTACAAGTGTAATTAGGGGGTATGTGGGCCACATTTGTTTTTATATTGAGTCTGTATCTTATTTTGACATGTGACATTATTAGATTTTGTTTTTAATATATATAAATATATGTGTGTGTGAATGAATGATTTTTACGAAATGTGTGTTTATTTGTAAATTATTTTACAGTTTGAAATGGTTTAATAAAATTTTAAAAAAATTTCTAGATTTTTATGGTGGGTCACTCCAATGATCCTAATGTGATACCTTGAATCAAATCGGGTCACATACATCGGTTTGAGGGTGTTACATTCATGTTGTTAAGGAATGCATTTTAGCCTACGATGTTTGCAATGATATGCAATATAGTTGGGCTGGTTTTGATTCTTCATTAGATTTCACTGCTTGATTAAGTTGGTTATTTAATAAATATTTGATTCAAGAACATCCTAAAATTTTGGTAACCATTTGGGTGTTATTGGTATTCACGAAATGTTTATTATCGTCAAGCTATGATAATGAGAAATGAAGAGGTTATTACCTTAATTCGTTCCCAATGCAGGGATTTTGCCAATGCACATACAAGCCTTCGGGGGTCCTCTGGTGACTCCTTCGGTACGTTGGCAGGCTCCATCCCCGTCATTTATGAAAAATCAATTTTGATGCACATTTCGTTCATACACAACAAGAAGCGTGATCAGGCATACTCATTAGAGATAATAATGATCTTATAATGGGTGCAAGTGGGAGATGGGTATCTTTCGTTAGCTTTGCTTTCCTGGTCGAAGCTTGGGCCTGTCGTTCATGCGATGGCTTTTGCTGAGGAAATGGGTTTCCAGAGGGTAGTGATTGAAGGCAATTCTCGGACTGTGATTACAAAGGCAACCTTATCAAATCCAGATTTTTCAGAAATTAGCATACTAGTTTGAGAAATGAAGAATTAGGCCATATCTTTTCGCGAGTGTGAGTTTAGATTCGTTTCTCACACAGTAGACATAGAGGCGCATCCTTCTTGCTGCAGAAACGTCACTCGGTAGGATGGACTACTTTTGGATTGAGGAAGCTCCCCATCACGTTGAAGTCCAGGCGTTTGAAGATTGTAGATGGTTAGACCCAACATGATAGTGGCCGTTCGGTGGTCTTGTTCTCGTGGAGGATCTAAGCTTTGTTTTTTTCCCCTTGATGTTTTCTTGTCTCACTGTTTCAGCTTTTCTTCTGCAAGGTATCGAAATGCCCACCATTGAGTTTCTTTTTCTCGTTCATAATGTTTTAGTTTTTGCCCATAGGTTTTGTTGTCTTTACCATTGTTTTAAAAATCGGATCGGACCGGCCGGTTTAACCGGAAACTATTGTCTAGTCCGATTCAATCTAAATCGGTTGAACCGCTACTAGTGAACCGGTCAGAAACACTGAACCGTTCGAATCGGACCAGCTGAAAACCGGAAAAAACCGAAAATTTTGTTTTTTTTTAAAAAAAAAATTAAACCAAACGTCGTTTGTTAAACGAGCCAAGTCGAACTCGAGTATTGCTGAGCTCGACTCGAACTTGAAAACTTTAAAAGTAAGCTCAACTCCACTCAAACTCACAAGTTAAAAATTATTAAGTTCAACTCAAATTCAAAATATAATATTGAAACTTGAACTCAAAAAGGCTTGAACTAAAAAAAAAATTTAGAAGCTCAATTGAAGCCTAAAATTTGAGCTTGATTGAAGTGAAAGAATAGTTCACTTAATGCTCACCAAAAGGCTCCATGATTTTGAATGCAAAATTACCTCTATTATTTATAGAAGTTAGTTGTGATGCTCTTCTATGTTTCTTAGCAATGTGAGATTGTTTTGTTCTCATATTTTTACTCTTTAGACTTTTGGGATGCTCTTCTATGTTTCTTAGCCATGTGTGATTGTTTTTAAAAAAAAAAATTAAACCAAACAATATCATTTTGTTATGATTTTTTTAACCCCAAATTTATTTTTTAATTATAGTTATATAATTATATTTATTATTTAATATGTTTTATCTTAAATATTATGTTGTAGTTAATTTGAATCATTTTGTTTCACTTGATTTTATAGTTTTTAACTTATATATGTTATGACTTGCTTTGAATATGACTTGTAATATAAAAAATTATTTTTTATTAAATATTTTTGGTATTTTTATTTAATTTTTTAAATAATTATGAAGTATTCCGGTTCTTTCGACCGATCGGACCGATTCGACCGGTTGAATTAATGAACCGATAACATGGCCGGTTCGCTAACCGATCCGATTCTAAAAATAATGGTTTTACTGCTAGTTAGTTGTTTTCCACTTTTCTTCTTTTTATTTTGGGTTGTACTGGACACATTTTGATTATTTATTACACATGGTTGATTTTCATATTCAAAAGGTAGGATATATATAATATTAATAGTTTAAAATTACACTAAGATATAAGTTATATACTACATATAGTCCATTTCAAGGCAAATAATTAGCCTACATATAGTCCATTTCAAGGCAAATAATTAGCCTCGTGCCAGTGGTTTATGCTCTCCTTTGTCACACATACAATTCAAGTTAAAATCTCATGGCACCTTTTTAAGTGTCTTTAATTTTCATTTGCCCACAGGATAACACGTGTCACTCTAGAAATTAAATATATTAAATTGAAATAATTTAAATCCTCTAATTGGGTGGATATGTGTTATGATTTTTGATATTAGTAACAAATAGTACGATCTGATTCAAAGATTAAATTTATTTTAATTTATGAAAATTAGGATCAAATTGATAGATTATATAAGTAATAGTGATCAAATGTGTAATTATATTAACTTTCACGTTAGTACTTCCATTAAATGTTAGCGACAAGTGGTCTGATTGAATTTATTTAAATAATTGGATGATGTAATTGCCAAAAAGTTTAAAATGGTGGTCAAAATATAAATGGGCTATAGTTAGTGATCATTGTTATAGTTTATCTAAAAATATTAAGAAAAATAATGTAATTAAGATTTTATTTTAAATAGTTTACCTTTAAAATTTTAAATAATTTATAATTATACGTTGAATCTTTAGAATTTTAGAATTTTATAAATCAAATTAATGATCCTCAACAATACTCATCATTAACAATGTTTAGCGGTGCTCGTCGAGCGATACAGACTCATCTAAACAAAATTAACCCTTAATGCTTTAAAATTAAACACATGTAACAGCTAAGTCTGTTTAATCAATTTAAAACAGAAGAGTAATGCGTTCAAGATTTCATAGGCATATCGAGGCATAAAAGTTTTGCTCTTACTCTTGGTTCACGGAATGTAAGATTACCAGTTAGAATATAAGATTACCAGGAAATAGGATTACTGGGAATATTGTATTTTTTGTTTGGTTTGTTTAGCAGGAATGTAAAATTACCGTGTTTCGTTAAAGGAATAAAAGATTATTGAAAGTACATTTGACCAAATTGTTCTTATTATATATCTGTTTTTTAACAAGTTAAAAAATATTTATATATTTTCTTTAAGAAATTTAAATTCATAAAATTTATATATTTTTTTACAAAATTAAAAATATAAAAAGTTAATGAAAATGTAAAATTTTATTTTAACCCCTGAACTTCATATAAAATTTTAATTATAAATTTTTTTTGTAAATCTAAAATAATTTAAGGATAAATTTATAATTTAACCTTCGTAAAATTTTTATTATTCAATAACAAAAGAATGATATTTTTGAAAAAAAAATTAAGGGAATTTTAGTCCAAAACGCTGGTAATCCAACGATACCTAAGGAAAGTGATGTAATGACAATCCCAATAATATACTCAAAAAATCTACTATTTATAATCTTACATTACCGGGAATGAGATTCTCAGGCTAACTAAATGGGTGAATGTGGATTCTATTCCCATGAAAATCCCACATTCCCTCGTCCAAACGGTTTCTCAATTTTGTTCATCCCACGAGCCCATAATTTGAAGCTTTCAGGACTTGGTATTCATGGTGGGTTTCACTGTAGTACGCAATTACCTTTGGGGACACTTGCAGTGGTTCTTCTCAATGTTTTGATCGGAGTAAAAAAAATTAATTTTGGCCGCAGAAAGGAAGAAAGGAAAGGCAAAGATGTTGGCCGCAAAAGAAATAAAGTAGAAGATTAAATTGATAAATATAGTTAATATTAATATTATTTTTTAAAAATTAAATATGAAATTATATAAATCAACTTATCTAAATAATTAAAGCAACTGTTGTTCTTTTTAGAATTTATGGGCTCGAACTAATCATCTTAACTTATTTTTTATATTGTTATGAATTTTTTATTTTAAGATAACGTTCACAGTTGATAGACTAAACAAAAATGAATTCTATAGTCTGGGGATTATCTGTGTATTTTAACCTTTTTTTGTTTACTTATCTTCTCTTACTTTCTCGCTGCCCAAACGCCCCCCTCTTTTCAGTTTAGCACTAGCAGTAGTATTTCTATTTCATTCCTCAAATTCCGTTGCCAACATCAAAAGTAGAGAAGAATAGGAAAACTAACTTCCGTTTCTCTGTGTTAGTTTAAATTTAAGGTTTAAGTTAAGCCAATGGGAGCTCGTTGCTCCAATCTATCACTTTGCTGGGGCTCGTCAAATCTCAAGTCAAACATCAAGGACTCATCCGATCTCGGTAAGTTTAGTTCACTAGTTTCCGTCGCTTTCTCGAGAAAAATTTACTGTTTTAGTGGTTTGCATACCTACTTTAATATATTTTTCTTTGATTTCTTACATTAGAGAATGGGAAGGAACCGTTACCTGGATTCATCGAGTACAGCTTGGACCAATTAAGAGCCGCTACTGCCGGATTCAGTACGGACAACATTGTATCGGAGCATGGAGAGAAAGCTCCCAATGTCGTTTACCGAGGGAAGCTCGACAACGAGGATCGTTTGGTTGCCATTAAACGATTCAATAGATCGGCTTGGCCTGATCCTCGACAGTTCCTTGTATATATTTAATTTTCCATTTTTCTGTAATTTATTATGGTTATTTTGGTTGAATTTTGTAATTATTGAGCTTCCCCCCTTTTACCCCCTTGATTTTAGGAAGAAGCAAGGGCAGTTGGCCAATTAAGAAGTGAGCGGCTGGCGAATCTGATTGGTTGTTGCTGTGAAGGGAATGAAAGATTGTTAGTTGCTGAGTTTATGCCTAATGAAACTCTCTCTAAGCATCTTTTTCACTGTAACTTCCACTCTTTTCTTCAACTGTTTTCCTCTCTTTTTTAATACGTAGTCCATAGCTTGATTTGATTTTAATAGTCTATATAGCAATTGAGTAATGAATCTAAAGTCGTATAGAGAATATGTTGTGTCACTCCCTGTAATTTGGCAAATTTTGAGATTCAGGCCTCAAAATTATTTCCCTTTTTCGATTAAAAAATCTAGTCCAATAGTTGATGTTTTTAATATTTCTATCAAATTTTGTTTATTATAAAGAATGCTTACTTAGCTCATAATGATTTACTTCTAAAATTGGTATGATTGCATGGGTGCATTGAATTTTGCCCACAAATATAAAATCTACATGTCTTTTTGTATATAGAATAAATGCGTCGGTAATGAATGTCTTAAACTAGTTATAGTAATTGGTTTGAAATGGGTGTAGGGGAAAATCAGCATATGAAATGGGCAATGAGATTGAGAGTGGCTTTATATCTAGCTGAAGCGCTCGAATATTGCAGTTCTAAAGAAAGGGCATTATACCATGACCTTAATGCTTATAGAATCTTGTTTGATCAGGTAACTTCAACCTTCAACATCCATATTGGACATTGAACCCATAACATTATTGCATATGTTCTCTTTGGAACTTGTATTTTTTTTTCTTATAGTTGTTTACTTTTTGACAGGACGGTAATCCCAGGCTTTCGAGTTTTGGCCTCATGAAGAATAGCAGAGATGGAAAAAGTTATAGTACAAACTTGGCTTTCACCCCTCCAGAGTACCTAAGGACGGGTAATATATGTTAACAGATAAAGTTCATGGAACTCTTTTACAGAATGCAATAGTCTGTCCATTGTATGAATGTGTATGCTTGCATGTATTGGGGGAAGGATATGTCAATTAAGCCTAGTATATTCACTTAGTTCTCACACAACATGCATTGATGCCTCTTTACCTTAGCATTGACACCTTAATCTGACAGGAAGGGTTATACCAGAGAGTGTGGTTTACAGTTTTGGCACCCTATTGCTTGATCTTCTCAGCGGCAAGCATATACCTCCAAGCCATGTGAGTTCTCTTTTCTTGAATCTCCTTTAAGGTTGAAGTCTTGTCTGAACCTTTCTATGGAAACTGAAGAAATTATTCAGACTGTGGATATCTAAATTGCATCATAGGATGGCCTTAGGAGATAATTTAGAACTTAAAAATGATGGATTGTGATCATCATTGCAGGCACTTGACCTTATACGTGCTAAAAACTTTCCAATGCTAATGGACTCATGTCTGGAGGGTCAATTTTCAAATGACGATGGAACTGAATTAGTGCGGTTAGCCTCTCGCTGTTTGCAGTATGAAGCTCGTGAGAGGCCAGATGTGAAATCTCTTGTAACTGGTCTTACTCCGCTACAGAAGGAAACTGTGGTATGCTTGCGTTATTCCTCACTATCTTACCATCAAATAGAGATCTAGCTAAGCTTTGTTACTGTAAGTGACCTCATTCAGATTTTTCTGGCAATGAAGTTGCTGGCAGATAGGACCGTCCTTTGTAATTCTGTATGGCACTTATTTACTATTAGTTTGAAGCTTTATGACAGGATTAAAGAAGTGTAACATCTCTTTCAAACATTGAGTACTGAACTCGGTTTCACTATTCTGCCGTTCATAAGTACACGATTTATTGAATTAACCTTCTTCCCCGAGAAAATTGTGTTACCTTTCTAACCTGCATCTTTTAACAGGTTCCATCACATGTTTTGCTGGGCATTTCACATGAAGCGGCATCCTCAGAGCAGACAATTTTACTATCACCTCTGGGAGAAGCATGCTCAAGAATGGATCTTACTGCAATACATGAAATACTAGAGAAGATCGGATACAAGGATGATGAGGGGATTGCAAATGATGTAAGCAATCCATATCTTTTATGTTGCTTTAAATCTGAGTCAAAAGAAAATAATTATAAGAATAATGAAGGGGTTAATTTATGCTGTGGTAGTTTTAGCATGAAAGCTAGAATGGCCACATTATGAACTTTGAGTTGGTAAGATAAACTCCACAAATATAATATTCTTATTGTCTTCATTGCCGATAGTTTTATCACTCAAACTGCTAGAAGTAAAGAGTTGTTCTTTTAAATTTCTTGCGAGATTGTTTTATTCTAATTGGCATTGTATTTTGCTGCTTTGTAGCTTTCTTTCCAAATGTGGACAGATCAAATACAGGAGACCCTTAATTCAAAAAAACGTGGAGATGCTTCTTTCCGAGCAAAGGACTTTGGTACATCCATTGAATGTTACACTCATGTAAGCCATTTGTATACAATTTGGCAATCTGCAGAACCATTTTATTTTCCTCAGTTACCTTTCTGATAAAGACTTGCCTAACAGTTTTAACAAAACACTGTGTCTTGTCATATAGTTCATTGATAGCGGGACAGTGGTATCGCCGACTGTGTTTGCGAGGCGCTGCTTGTGCTACTTGATGAATGGCATGACACAAGAGGCCCTTGGAGACGCCATGCAAGCGCAGGTAATATCTCCCGACTGGCCGACAGCATTTTATCTCCAAGCTGCTGCTCTGTTCAGCCTTGGTATGGACAATGATGCTAAGGAAACCCTAAAAGATGGCGCAAACTTGGAAGCAAAAAAACATAGTAGCTGAAAGTGTATAGGTCCTTTCCCCCCATTCACTTTCAAATATCCCTCGTATCTTCGTGTCTTATGGCACCCTTTTGCATTGTTTAATGATTGATCAAAGATTAGTGTGATGTAATCAAGATTATTTGCATTTAACAAGCAAGCATGTGTTATTTCTCAAAAAGCAATGGTTGTTTTATGGATGAAGCAAGAACTCTTGATTTGCAGCTACAAGTACAGATAAATTGCTAATGTCAATTGCAGGGCTAGCCATGCTTTAGTCATAAACAGAATTATGAAGATGACGGTGTTTTACATTGGAGGCTGTCCACCAGCACTGAGCATCTGGCCGATCATGCTATTCACCTGGAAACATTGTGCATGTAAGAACCAAATGTCAGCCATTGAACTAAGAAATTGATACAAAGATCAAACAAATTATAGGAAAAGCATAGGAATCAAGCATAGTTCGAACCATGAAGGCTGAATTATAGACTTTCTGCAAAGAATATATATAGGCATACAACAGAATGTTCTTTATAATTCATCTTAAGAATAAAACCGAAGGAAACAGTCATAAAACTAGCATAAGCCATGGTTAAAACTTCAATAAAACACAAATTAGAACATTTATGAATAATTTGAAACCAAATCTTACCTGCCAATACTTCGAAACACAGCGATCAATGCAACTGTTTTCCCCCATGTTTAGCTCAGCCTCCTTGTACCTAAAGCAGAAATTATTTATCATCGACATCATTTCTTTACGGGATAAGATTAACCGTATATACCATGTGTAAGCCGATTAATTAGGATGAACGAAACAATAAGAAATGTGGTGTTCAGACTTTTAATACCTTTTGTCAACGCACTTGTTGAAACAAGTTTGTGCAAGCCTGAACGAAAATCATAAAACAAGTTGAACTCAGAAAATCTAGTGGCAATAAAAGCTTACGAGGTAAAGGAAAATATTTTCACATTATCTATAAGAAAGAATCAAGCAAGGCCATAGAAGTCCACTTTCAAATTCTGAACAAAGAATTTCTATTTTCTAGGCAGATAATATCGAACATACGGAAAGTTCAAGAAGCAAAACAAAAGTTACGTGTTCTTGTGATAACAATCTTGACATTTCTTGTTAGCTTCTACATGTACTACTAAACAAAGTGCTATCAACTGGGAGAGATGAATTGATTTTGGATCAGGTTAATCTGGACCTAAACAATAAGGGTTTTAAAATTTTCAAGTCATGGGTCAATTCGTATTTAAAATTTTCAATCATTTTGGGTCTACTCAATTCTGGCCTTGATTGTTCTCGATACAGGTTATTCCGGTTATTGGGTTTTCAGGTCAGATCATTTCAGATTCTGGTCAATTTAGGTTTGGATCATCTCGAATAACTTATTCGGGTCATTTTGGGTTAGATCAGGTTGGATTCAATCATGTCGGGTTGTTTACTTTAATTGATAAAATCAAACTGGGTCGAGTTCAGGTTGATCAGATCAGGTTTTCAAATTCGGAAGAATTGTAACTGTTCAAACTAAACATGTTCATTAAAATTTATGCAATTCCCTATTACCTGTTGAAGAGTTCTACCCTATATTCCATCTCTGTTTCTGCCATGCCAAAGGCCTGCAAGCGTTCAAAATATGAACCTCAAATCACCCAGATCGCATAAATGGTAAAAGATACAGATAAATACAATTACAATTAACAAATTTTCAAACAAAACTCAAAACGAAATAACTCTCAAAGAACCATTCCCAGTTAGTTCATAATAAACACCTTAATCCATAGACATAGAGAGTACGCATACACCCAAATATTACCTGAACACTACAAACTCGATAAAACAAAATGCCAGATCAATCAATGGAAAAGATCAAGTTTGATGCAGGTCATTGTTTCAGAATTATGGGGGAGTAGTAACAGCTAACCTGCTCTTTGTCTATTCCAGCTGGGATGTTGGCAGCCATTGAAACCCTGAGAAACCAACAAAGATCAACCAAAACTTAATCAGAAATATCAATCGAAAATATTTAAACAATATCAGAAATATGGGTCTTTTAAAACTTTACTCTGATAGGAGAAAAGCTTTGCTTTTGTTAGGGTTTAAGGAATTGCTGATAAATAAGGAAATGGCCGAAGAAACCCTATTAGGCGTTAATCGTTTTTAGGGTTTTAGGTTGACTCCGTCCCGCAAATAGGTCAAAGTACCTCCTAGGTCCTTGAAGTTGTATCAATTTAGTCTTTTGTCATTAAATGAATTAATTTAACCCTGAATTATAGACACTAATTCGAATTCTCTATATTTTAAAAATTGGTTTAAAATTAAAATATTTATTATTAAATATAACAATTTTCTCTTTGTACTAATAAAAAACAGGAAAAATCATTTCTTTATAGAGTTAACATTTATTATTTAATAGAATTAATACTTTTATAGGCTTTATGTTCTACTAATGAATTTTTTAGATTTGAATTAAAAACTAAAAATAATGTTTTTTGAAAGGATGTTTCATATTATATTTGGAAGTATGCATATAAAACATGACATAAACACGAGTCTCGTTAAAAAACATGACATAAACACGAGTCTCGTTAAAAAACATGACATAAACACGAGTCTCGTTAAAAAATTTCTCTAATTTTAAGGGAAGGAAAAACAATGATTACATGTTGAATATGGTAATGAACCACAATAATTAGCACAACCATAGAACGACACACTTAAACCTACAGACACCGTAAAGCCTCAACGAAATAAGGACTTAACCCTCGTGGAACACCAAACCAGATAAAACCATAAAAACACTAACCCACACGCACTTTAAAGATCGGCCCCAATCCTTAGCAAAAGTCAATGAGCCAAGGCGATTCATCCGATCTGTAAAAGAAAGCCTAGATAGTGTAAAAAAAAGCCTAGATACACAAACTATCAGAGATGAAGCAACACCACACGAGTAAACTAGATGCAAGGAAACATTACATATCCGCTGAAACTAGAACAAAACATGATAAAAGTGTATCAACCTCTCAAAATGTCAGCACCAGGCTGCAGACAAACATGTCGCTTCAAAGCGCTCAATAGTGATACGAAAACTCAGAATCTAACGGTTCCTCGACCATAACAACCAGTCGACACAATCCCAAACCACTCGCACCGAGATAAAAACGGGTCTAGCAACCAGACAAGGCTGCACTACAATTTCATACACCATTCCAAAAGCATCCAGACTGCTAGCCTATTGTTCCGGAGGAGAAAGCAACTGCGTTACGGAGTCATGAGAAATCATTAACGGATGGACAAATTTGAGGCCATTTATTTTTAACCCATAATCCAGTCCTTAAAACTGCGACATCATAGTTTCGCCACACAGTAACTTCCCTTGTTAAACACAATGTCATTCCTGCATAGTCAAATAGACCATGAAACTGGTAGACAAGATCCAAAGCCCGCAACTTATCAGCAAGAGGATCAAGACCCTTGAAACCACCCGCGAACCTGTCATAAAAAATCCTCCTCTCCTCCGCCACTGCAACAGACGACAGAGAAAGCTGCCTCTTTACCCTCTTGTTCTTGATGAAGCATTCCCTCAACCTCTCCTCAACTTTGTCTATCGACGTCTTCAAATTCTCTTCTACCTCCGTGTTATTCTCATTACCCACTTGCATTGGATTGGTACCATCCGCGTTGGCGGCATCGGTGATGGAGGATAAAGAATTCTCTGCCGCGGGAGGAGGAGGAAGAGGGAATTGAGTCTGGGTAGAGAAGAGGAAAGATGAGAGGGAATGATGGGCTCGACGGAGAGATGAATAGATTTGGAACATGTAGGTTGGGTCAGACGTGATAGGGAGTTGTTTTGCCATCTGGGTTGCTTCCTTTAACGAATATAAAAGCTCTGGTAGTTGTATCGTCGTCGGCTACTGTGTCTCTGCCATGGCCATGATGTTCTCTATGCTTTTTTTGTTTCCTTAGTAACGTGTTTCTTGCATTCTACAGTTTGAAACCAATCAGAGTGTCTAGCATAATGGTTTGATTGTTGATTCATCAACCCATATATCCCAAGTTTGATTCCTACCCATCCCCTTTACGTGATTCTCTATTCTATTGCAAAATTTTCATCCAATCTGATGATGACATGTGTCACCATTTGATTGGGTGAAAAATAAAATAATTAAATTTAAAAATATACTTCATTCATATTGTGACACGTGTTATAATATGATTAGATGGTTAAATTTATTAAATTAAATTAAAATTATATCAAATTAATATAATGATAAATATTGAGGACTAAATATATAATTATATCAATTTCATTAATTGTCATGCCATCATTTCCATAAACTATTAACGACAAGTGGCTTGATTGACAACAATTAAATAGTTAGGTGGTGTGATTGATAAAATTAAAAGATCAATGATAAAAGTAAAAGGGCTACATAGTTGAGTGGTCAATAATATAGTTTACCCTTTTCTTAATTTAAGAAAAGGTAAACTACACATTTAGTATCTAAATTATAAGTTTTAATTCGTTTTAATACCTAAACTTTTAATTTTTTTCAAAACTGTATCTAACGTTTAGTTTTCATTTCATTTTAATGTCTCATCGTTAAAAACTTAATGCATTTAGTACATAAACTATCAATTTCGATTCGTTATAGTAACAAAATTATCAGTTTTGGTATGTTTTAGTACCTAAATTATCAATTTTGATCCATTTTAGTACTTAAACTTTCAATTTTTAAAAAATTTAACGTTAAATTTTGAATGGTAGCACTAAAATAAAAAAAACTAAATTTTTAACAACGAGGGTACTAAAATGAAATAAAAACTAAACTTTATGTATGATTTTAAAAAAATTAAAAGTTTAAGTACTAAAACATAATAAAATTTATAGTTTAAGTATTAAATGCAAAATTTACCTTTAAGAAATTATAATATTATCATAGATTAAAACTTCTCATTTAAAACCACATATTTTTTTAGGTTGTAAGTTTAATACGAGTAAATATTTTAGTGGAAATTGTCAAAAACAATAATAATATTAGAAGAATAATATTTATTTTATATTTATTTATTTAAATAATATTCGAATAATATTATTTTAACAAAAATACATCACATAGAAAAATATATATTTTTCAAATATATTTTATATGACATGTTTTTATAAAGGCTTAAATATACAAAAGGTGCCCAACGTATGTTCGTTTTTCTAGTTCAGTGCTTAACGTTTCATTCCGTAATTCAAAATGGGTCACGCTGTGACATACCGTTAAGTTTGTCTGTTAACCCATTAAAAATGTCATGTGGCATATTAGAAAATAATTTTTGAAAATAAAAAAAAATTAAAATGAAAAAATAAAGTTTTAACTTTTTTACTGTTTAACCCTAAATAATTTTCCCCTTTCTCCTTCACTCTCTTCCCCAAACTGATTTTACACTAAATCTTTTCCAAAGGGATCGGCATCGGAGCTTGTTGTATGTTAGAATAGCAAAGTCAATACTACTACTAGTAAATGCCTTCCCTCCGACTGTGGCAGGAGTGGTACATCATTTACAGTTCTGGTTCCTGAAGCTTCACTGGTAACTGTAATTTTGCTTACATGGTTTTATATACTTAGTTTTAGATAATTTGGTTGCTTTCATTACAAAAAGGGAAGTGAAATCATATTGTTTACGAATTAGATGACCTTTGAAATGGGTAAACCGTACAGAAGCCTTAGGCTTTTGAATATATGAGAAATTTCTCAAAAAAAAGTGTGCCTTTTGATTTTAATAGTAAGTTTCCATGGATTTTTTGGATTTTAATATTAGGTAAATTATTTTGATTTTTACAGTGTGACTTTTGAAGGATACATAAAGTTGAAGCATTTTTGGTGTTGTTGATTCTGAATTTAACCAATAAAGGTAATTATTTTTGTCTTCTTCTACAAATTCCTTTTTTGAAAATAATAAAATATTTGATTAAAGTAGTAGCAGGTCTTGTATAGGACCAATGTTCTTTAATTCTTTAACATAATGGAGAGAGATTTAAAATCAATTGGTCTTTAACACGTTGTCAAAGCATAATGTTTTTGTTTGCATCTCGTTCATTAAGTTTGAGATTTACTTCAACCTTATATCCAAGTTATTTGTATGGGTGTTAACATGGTAGCAAAGCCCATGGTTATCTTTTTTTTAATGTTATTTTTCATTTGTTGCCCAAATTCCTTGTTCAAATAATCCCAATTTTTTTAATGTTATTTCTAATATTTAAATTAGTAGCAGATCTTGTGCTTTGTGTTAAAGAATAATTTAAATTTGACCATAATATGTTTATTAGCTGTTAAAATATTGTGATAGATATAATGCATATTGGTTATTTTGGTTTGTGACAAATATAATGAACATTGCAAACATATGAACTTGAGGTTATTTGATTTTGTTTGTTAAATATTAGTTTGACCAGAACATGTTAGTATTCTATTAAATTCTTCTATTTATTAAATGTTAAATGCAGTGCTGCTATGTAAATATTGGCAGGTAACTGATATGGAGGGTAGTGAAAATACTAGCAGTGGACCTATTGGGCCTGTTGGCATTGATGGGTTGGTAGATGAAAAAAGTAATGACTTGAGTTATGATACCCAAGAGGAGAGTGGAGAGTTATGTGGATATTGTCCCTTATTTGATGATGATGAGATAAACTCCATCAGAAACAAATTCAAATTAGTGAAAAGGAAGATAAAAAACAGTATTGTCACTGCATCAGACTTATAAGCTGTTGTTAATAAAGGTGTTGGGGAGGTTAATTAAGATTATTGAAATGTTGATTTGGGTGTAGCAGATCATGATGAAGAAGGTATTGGTTTGGGCTCAACAAAAGTGAATGAGGCAAATTTACCAGGTTAAAACAGAAGAACTGGTTTGGGCTCAACAGAAGAAAATGAGATAGGTTTAGGGTGTACATGTTCAACCGATTTAGGATGTGAAAACAGTGAGGAGGATATTGTTTACCTGTATTCTTCAGATATTGAGAGTTATAAGACTGATTCATATGGAGATTTTGTATCTAAGAAGACTGATAAGCTGTTTTTTTATCCTTCAAATATTAAACCTAGATTTGAACTAGGAACGATTTTTGAAAATCACAAACAATTAAAGGATGTTTTATTTGCTTATATAATAGCTCATAGG